TGAGAGATAGAGAATGTGTGTGAGTGTTGACTCCTAGCAACTGCTTAAACAGGTCCCTGTAGTTGATTTAGTAAAATTTCAGAAGGTTTGCCATTGTCCCCTTCCTAAGTATGAGGGAGATTGATTGGCCCAAGATCACCCAGCTGCCTTTGTGCAAGAAAAGGCAAGAAAATATAGAAGACTTAGATAGAAGAAAGATATAATCAAGGTCATGCAAAATGTTAATACCACTCTATAATGCCTGGGTAAGATCACACTTAGAATACTGTTTCCAGTTTTGGTGTCGCAATGTAAAAAATATGTTGAAACGCTTTAAAAGGTACAGAGAAGAGCAACAAAAATGATTAGGGGACTGGAGGCTAAAACATATAAAGAATAGTACTAACAATAGCACTTAGACTTATATACTGCTTCACAGTGCTTTACAGCTCTAAATGGTTTACAGACTCAACATATTGCCCCCAACAATCTGGGTCCTCATTTTATTGATCTTGGGAGAATGGAAGGCTGTGTCAACCTTGAGCCAGTGAGGATTGAACTCCTGACAACCAGCAGAATTAGCTGACAATACTGCATTCTAACCATTGTGCCACCATGGCTCCTGGAATTGGGTGTGTCTAGTTTAATGAAAAGAAGGACTAGATGTGACATGATAGCAGTGTTCCAATATCTCAGGGGCTGCTGCAGAGAAGAAGGAGTCAAACTATTCTCCAAAGCACTTAAATGCAGGTCAAGAAGCAATGGATGGAAACCAATCAAGGAGAGAAGCAACCTAGAACTAAGAAGAAATTTTCTGACAGTTAAAACAATTAATCAGTGGAACAATATGCCACCAGAAGTTGTGGGTGCTCTAACACTGGATGTTTTTAAGAAGAGTTTTGACAACCATTTGTCTAAAATGGCATAAGGTTTCCTGCCTGGGCAGGGGGTTGGAGTAGAAGGTCTCCAATGTCCCTTCCAACTCTGTTATTCTGTTAAGACGACAACATGAATAAATCAGCCAAAAGGAAAGCAATTTTATAAAGCCATAATAAGAAGAATGTTAGCTGAATCTTATTTCAAACTAGCTGCTTTTGAAAAGGGGAAGGCATTGTTACATTGCTTTCTTCTGTAAAACCTTTTAAAAACTAGATTTTAGACATTCTTTTTATTTGGGACTCTTTACCTAGTTTCATGCAGAACAAGAGCCAGATCAATGGATGCCTGTACAAGAGGGCATGTACAGTATAGTACGTAAGTACAATTCCATTTGTCTTTATTCCATTAAATAGATTTGCAAGAAGTCACATGTCCATTTCTTATAGCCACCCCCATTTATCACATGACTGTGATCATCTCTCTGTTTTCTTCCAAACTTAAATGTTTGCTTAGCTTAGAACTTACTTTGCAGTAACAAGAGTAAGAATGGAAACAGTCAAAGGGCAGTTAATCACAGAGGAGACTGTAAGGAGGCAGCTGGTCTAAGTAGTGAATTGTTTAGAAGTCACAGTATTTTTAGAACAGTTCTTTACTGACAAAAAACAAAGGAAGATTTGAACTGCACTAGAAATCATTACAACCTCCTTGGGATATGTATAGAGTTGGGAATGTCCCCAGAGAAGATTAAGGACATTCTAATGTATTCAGATATTTATATTTTTCTTGAAAGCAATATGAGTTCTTCCTCATGCCTACAATCTGTCACTCAGTTGTGGAATGTAATGGACAAAGTAATCAGTAAATGCTGTAAGGGAACAGCAGTGCTGCTGACAAGTAGAAATAGCCTATTAAAATTTAGGCAACATGGCATTGTGCCAGCATGGAAATAGAAACAATAAACAGCCACGGAAAACTTCTTACAATTAAACTCATTGGTAACAGTAGAATATAGCTGGCAGAACATGGCTTTCTTTGGCAGTTCGTGTAAATAATGCTCTAAGACAATAGGGTCTGTCAATATCTTTTAGCACTAAACTCATACATCAAAAATATGATTTTAAAACTGGAACAGCTAAATAAAATTTTATTCTGTCTCTGCTGTGGATTGGAAATGAAACAAAGGCAAGAACATGGAGAAACGTGATTTTAAAATGGCATATGGGACATCATAAATAAAGGGTTGTGAGCCTCTGAATTGATTCTAATGATGGTCCCTGGTCCTTCTATGCCCTTTTGACAAGCATGTCTAAAGTAGATAGGGGAGGGGCACTTGTTGGAGAATCAACTACCGGAGTAGGAACTTTTGTGCCTTTATCCTGTTGCTATCAAAAGGAAAGGAACTCCCTCTTTGCTCCTCTCCTTCTCTCCTCTCAATTTCTCTCCTCTCAATTTCTCCTTATTAGAAAATTGATGCTCTCTTCATTCTGCTTCTGGAACTAGAATCCTCTCTGTCATTTCACACTGCAACCACCCCAAATCTGTCCATAGTTGTTTAGACTGCTTTTCAACTTGTGTTTTGCATTTTTCTGGTTGTCATTGGATAGTCAGATTCCCTTTGAATACACCAACAGATACTTGTGTTGGTGTACACAGATAATTTTGTTTAAGGACTAAACTCATCAATCTAGCCATCAATCTAGCCATCTAGTCACAACTCACTTCCAGCCCAACAAATTCTTACTTTGGAATTTTCCATTATGCTAAGTCTCTGGTTTACCTTATCTTGTCTAGTTTCTATATACGAATTAGAAATATGTAGCCCAGAAATTTGACTTTTCCATTTTTTATTATCTGTATTCTTCCCCTTCTCTCTTTTTTTCTTTCACTTTTAGCTGACTCTATACTTGAGATTTCAATATGTAGAAAAGTGTCTGTGACTCTTACATGTCAAGCTAGTTTATTTGAATGGAAATTCTACACCTACAGCAGAAGGAGACCTGATTCTGTCTGAGAGGAAGATGCCCGCAAAAGTTGGTTTACCATACTAGGAAACAAGATTGGGAACAAGAATAATCTGTCAAAATGAACAAATCTAGATGTAATAGCAAAACAAGCCAATCAATTGCTTTGGAAAACATGTAATGAATGAAAAATACAAAAACTCAAATGAGTACACACAATTTGTAATCACAAATCAAAGAAGCAGAAGTCCCTCGGTCTCTTTTCCTTTCCTCAACCATTGAATAAATGAAATGCAATCAACAACTCCAACTGCTATGACAAAAAAATGAGACAATGGCATAGAAGAAGACAAATTCCTGAATCAGTATCTACTCTGGACAAAACTTACCCTTCTTGCTTTCTGGTACTGTAAACATGATAATAAAGAATATGAAAAATAGAAGGACCCAAATATTTTCCTGACTTGTAATATTTCATTCTGAAGTACTATGTGTCTGAATTTAATTACCCGAGATAGTATAATTCATATTGTATACAAACAAGATTTTATTTATATGGCTACCCACTTGCCAACCGTCTGGAGAGCTAGTAAGTTAAACACATCAGTAAATGCATTGGCCCTAACAAAGCTACAGCAGGCATGATATTCCGCTCTGAAAAAAAAATCGGGGGCGGCCAAAAGAGACCCCCCGCCGTGCGCCCGGGGAGCGCCCGCTGCTTTCCCTCGCCAGGGCGGCGGCGTGTTGCACGGAGGCTGGTCTGTGGCTGGCCCAGCTCCCTTTTCCTGCTGCTCAGCGGCCTCCGCTCGCACCGCCCGGGCTCCGCTCAGGTATCCGGCTGGGGCTGTCAGGAGTTGCTACCGCCGGCGCAGCTCCACGCGGCTCCAGTCCCGCGTTGCCTCGGGAAGGGAAAGGCAAAACCAGGAGCCGCTGCTGCCGTTGCAAAGCGCCGCTGCGGCTCTTCCTTTTTGCCTTTCCCTTCCTGAGGCAACGCGGGACTGGAGCCGCGCGGAGCCGCGCGGAGCCTCCGAGGGGAGGGGAAGGAGGAGAAGAAGGGGGGGGAAGGGGGGGGGCGATTCCCAAAAAAATCGGAATTCCGATTTTAATCGGAAGAATATCATGCCTGTACAGATAAGCATATACAGTACTAGAAGTTCACTTGTTCACCTCTTGACTTATCCCGTGTGAATGGTCCGCAGCGAGTTGTTCCAGGGCTAGTTAGCTGCAGCAAGTCGATCAGATCAAGTTGGCAATGGCAAGATGAACGTGTTGAGTTGGCCGCAGTGAGTTGTCCCATTTCAATTACATCTATCCACACAGCGTCCTTGTGTGGAATATGACAACATAGAATTAAAAAGTTGAAAGTCATTTCATCAGGAATAACCCCCAGCTCAATGTAACAATTTAGGAACGTGTTGCCAGAAACTAGTGTTTACTTCGTTTCCAGCATGAACGCACATAGCAAACAAGACATTTATTTATTTATTACAAAAAGGTCATAAAATTGGGTCCAGTCACATCGTAACTAATTTATAACAGTCATGACTTAAGACTGTAATTGCCAAGCTCAACTATGGTTGCTATATTACAACATTTTCTGTTTCATCTCAAGCAGAAAAATGTCTTAGGCTAGTCCTTCTGAGGTCAGGAAAAGCAAACAAGCAAAGTTATTTGTTAATTTTTTATTAAACCTGAACTTTCTGCTTCTGGCAAACTATTAACAGAAGATCCCTTAAGGGAGTCCAAAGGGGGGGAAATTATTAAAAATTCCATTGGCTTTATTTTGGGTTCAGGGATTTAAACCATAGTCAGAAACAGCAGAATGATCCATTAGTTATACCTTTAATTGACTGTAAAGGAAGCAATGTCTAAGTAGGGTAGACAAATAAGTGCTTTGCTATGTTACCCAAAGAACCACAAAAAATATCAAAAGCAGAAATATGTTTGCATGATATTTAACTTTCCAGCTCTTAACAGGTGCAGAATTCTCAAGCCAGAGAAGCCTAAACAGAGCTGTCTGGAGAAAACAGAAGGGAAAGTAGGTTGTCAGTGTGTTGCTGTTTCTGAACTGAACTTATTGTATCTGAATCTGAAGAGCACTGACAGAACAAAAGAGACTCAATACTCATTGAAGTACTGGAATTTTTTTCAGAAGACTAGAGAAAAGGGAGTGCTGCAACATTTATCTAAGATTTGTTTATTTTGTTTGACTCTAACAACCCTTCTATTTAAGGTCAGCTATGGGCAGTTTGTTCCTAGTGCAGCAGGCAATAGGTTGGTGTCGTGTTCGGCTGCCCATGGTTGTAACTCAGAGATTCTGTACCATGTCTTCTCAAAGACATTGGGTGTCTCCTCCTGCATCTCTACTACAGCCACTATCTGTCCCAGACAGATTATTACTAGGGCCTGGGCCTTCCAATTCTCCTCCACGGGTCTTGTCTGCAGGTAGCCGACAGCTCATAGGACATCTACACAAAGAGTTGATTCAGGTAAGGACTATACTTCCAACTTCTAAAATCAGCAGGATTCCTCCATCAATTTCCACTCACTGCTTTGTAACCTTGAGATACCACACAGAGAGATGTTTATCCACTTTTTATTCTAATAAAGCTCATATGCTCTTAATTACATTTTATTCATTGTATTAAGCCAAAAACCAGTTAAGGGCAAATGAAATAGCTGGAGTTCTTAAAATGTATATTTTTACAATTTTTCAGAACTTTATTAAGAACACCCCCATATGATTTTGTTTAATTTGGATATTCTGAGTAACAGTTTACAAATCTTCAGGAAAAATAGCTCTTTAAATCGATTCAAAAATCATTGCTGAGACCTTGTAATCTTCATTCTTCCATATGTCAGTGAAAAAAACCCTTTCAGTTCTCTTGCCTGAAAAGGATTGTACAGTTTAAGTTAAAAACCTATAATCTTTCAGATAATCTGGATATGAGCTTTTTATAGATCACATGTTGTTGATGATATATTTCATATTGATGTCTTCTAAAAAACCATGTAATCCTAAATCATCAGGCATCTTCTTCCATACCATAATTTGATTGAATTAACATTTGTTATTACCCCTCATAGTAAAACAGAATTACAGCTTATTATAAAAAGAGAACAACCTATTTGATGAAAAGAAATATAGAGTGAAGAATAAGACTTAACATCTGCATCATTATACGATATCTCAGCTTTTGTAGTCTCTTTTTCTCCAGTCTCATCCTGGAACCTAGTTGCTGGATGGCCCAAGTCTAGAGAAATTGATCAGCACAATTTCAGAATTCTTTCAACCTGATCAATGATCACAAAAATTACAAAAACTTATATCAGTAAAACAAGGTTTGCATCATTGGTCATATCACTTTCATTGCTGCTACACAGGAGCACAAGCCCTAACCTTAAGGGAATATTTTAGGTTTAAAGCAGCTGAAAAAGGGAAAATATAACCATTACCAAAATTCCTAGGAAACAGAGAGCTGTGTTTTAAGATGGGAAGCTATATAAATCTTAGAGAGAAAATAAGCTGTATTGGTTCAATTTCCCCCAGATTCACATGGCATTAGAATGGAGAAAGTTGTGGTAGGATTATTAATTTCAGAGACCTTTGGGCCACAGTTCAGTTCCTTCTACCTTTTTTCTTAAAGCAATGTATGTTTAAAACAAATACATTTTAGTTGATGGAACAATATCAGTTTCTCCACCTATGCATGTTAGATGTAAATATATTAAACTATCGCTGAGTGGGGAAAGCTTATTACTTCTTTTTTGTCTCAGATAATGGATGATATTAAGGGGGGAATCCAGTATATATTCCAGACACAGAACCCTCTCACACTGGCTATCAGTGGCACAGGCCACTGTGCAATGGAAGCCGCCTTCCTGAATTTGGTGGAACAGGGAGACAAAGTCTTAGCAGCTGTGAATGGAATTTGGGGAGAACGAGCAACTGACATCGCAAGCAGACTTGGTATGCACTTGTTATATATTTAATAGTGAGCTTCTTTACTGCTAGATGCAAACTGACATTTCTTTCCCTTTTTCTATTGAACCATGACATTTACTGAGATGCCAATTGGCTGCATTTCAGAGAATAGCCATTACAACAATTTCGGCTGCAAACTTAAATCCCCATTTACTTTGAGCATACTTCTAATCACTTTGAGCACACTTCTAATCACTGCCATCCTATGAAAAATCCTTCTGTGTCTCTGATGTGTACCATAATGTCAATTTATGTTTTTGCGATCTCACTACATCCAACAAGTTGTTGCTGCATTTGTCCTATATAAATCACAATGATAAGAGCATAAAAGGTATGCATGAAGCTGAGCATTTCTTCATTAAAAGGCATGATTGATTATGTTATAATTGATTATTTTATTAATTTGTTAAAATAATTATTTCTTTTGTTTTTTATTTTTTGATTATTTTAAGAATGGACTAGGTAATAATGACATTCAGTAAACCATGGTTAAAACAAATAATGGCTTACTATGTATGTATGGACCCAAACAATGTCAGAATAATTCATAAGAGATTTATTGTGGCACAAAAGTCCATATAGTATAGTTGGGGAAAGCTGGGATTAAAGATTATAGGGCAGCACACATGAAGCACAAGCAGCAATACTGTAAATCATATGTATATAAAACAAAAACAAACCTCACAGAATAACCCAAGTGTAATGAAATATCATTTACATTACACTTGGATAAGCCATAACACTTTTGAGAAGTACAAAGAATAAGAATTATAATAACTTCACAAAATCAGTAATAGGTATATTATTACATGATTTTCTTATAATGTATTAACCTAACTAGACCCTAGTTCCTCTTTTGGAATAATCTGGGTTTGGCAGGGTAAGGGTCAAACTGTCCAAGAGGCCATTCTTGCAGTTACCAGTTCATGAACAATTTAAATGAGCTATTTAAAATGTCCAGAACACAAACAAACTAGTATGTTGATGCAAAAGTTAGGCTTGAATTGTATGTTCCTTGCAGACGTCCAGACCCATAGAAAAAGCCCATGCCAGAGATTCAAGAAAAACTTCCATTGCCTTGAATTGGATTTCTTCTGATGCAGATCCACAAATGTAATAACCTGAATTAGGATCACAGCAGAGGGCAAACAGTTAAATACCTCCCCTATTCCATGCCAGGATCTTGATCAGTGATACCATTTGTTAAAATCCATTAATGTAATTATTTTATTACATTCATACATAAAATAAGTAATAAAATTTAAGTTATCACAATATATCTGAGAAAGTGAGAAAACCATAGATCTATTAAATTTCAATGATACAGTGGCTGCACATGTACTTTGCTTCCAGAAAGCATCATTGTAAAATTCCAATTGAGACAGATTCCCGTCTGAAATCTTGGAGAACTGCTGATCAGTGCACTTAACTCTGAAACACATGAAATAATAGTCAATTTTTGAAAAACTGCATTAGTGATTCAATCCTCTAATTGTATGGCTCAGCCTTTTTGAGTAAGAACTTGGATTGGATTAGAATTCCTGATGCCTTTTCTTAATTCAGAAAAAAGTCTTTTTGCTTTTTTAATAATCAGTGAGACATTTTAATAATTAAATGCCTTTTCCCCTAACGCCACATTTAATGATAGCTTATATTGGAAGGTCCCATGGAATCTAGCTGGACTTTGACAGACCACTGCTATGTATTCAAGTTAATATATGACTCATAGCAAACAGTAACTCTAAAATAGTTGGTTGTGCTTTCCTACTGAAATGTGAAGTGACTACAGTTCTCTTGTTACTCACAAATGCTAATCCAATCCAAATTCTTAATCTTAAAGGCTGAATCACACAATTAGTAGATTGAACCAGTCATACAATCTACCAGTCCAAATCATTGTAGCACAAGTTTCCAAGGTTTGCCAATAAATATTTTGTATTCATTTGTCACATTAGCATGCCTATCTGAAGCTTGCTGCTTAAGAAAAAGATTTTTACTCAGGAAAATCCAACCTCATTAACTTGGAATTTCTCAAGGGATGCTAAATAGACAATTTCTTTTCTTTCAGATCATAATAAATTGGATTCCAATAAAATGAAGGAATTTGTTATGTGATATGAAACACATGCTTTGTTTACTTTTTTCCCCTAAGTGTTAATATTTTTCTAAAGTTTTAAGAGCTGCTTCTTCCTTTGCTTTTAATTCCACACTATTATTATGCTGATATCATTTACTCCCTATAGGAGCTGAAGTACATCAATTGGTAAAGGCTCCTGGAGAATATTTTACTTTAGAAGAAATAGAAAGGGTGAGTTGTGGGCAAGTACCAAAAGTATATTATTTACTGAAATGATTTCATACTTTCTTCCATTTGGATGTACCAGGGACAATCTATAGAAATTCATCTTCCTATTTACCAGAAACATGCTATTGACTTGTTTTTTCTTTGCATGATTTTCGCCCCTTTTTCTCTTGATGTGCCACTTAGGGCTTGATGCAGCATTCGCCCTTTTTATTTTTCATCACACATGGAGAATCATCCACTGGAGTAGTTCAGCCACTGGATGGCCTGGGAGACCTCTGTCACAGGTCAGTGAAAGAAGGAAAGTCAACCCCATTAGTTTTAGAACTAAAGTAATAGGGCTGCTACCTATAGCTGAAGATGATTCTGGGAGGTACTGAAAACATATTGCATATGATTGTAATTCAAAATGAAAGTATTTAAGCTAGATGGCTGGCTCTGACAATAAAACAGAAACAGAAATCATACTACACATTAGACTACAAGGGAATATAATAGTGATGCATATTGATTGACTTGTAGGCTACTTCAAGGTAGCTTACAGGTTAGAAAGTAAAATAACAAAATGAGCTAAATAAACAATAATGCACACAGCACACAGCATATATATTAATGTGCAGAAAAGATAATGCAACCATACGCCAAATGAGATCATGGTCAGATTTTTTTATGGCTAGCATTTGTGTTTTTTAAAATTCAGCTTCTAAAACTGTTGGTCATAAAACCTGTACCATGATAACTTATGTTGTTACTGAATTTCAGTGAAGTGGCCTAAAGGGGAAAGATGGCTTGTATGGGAACATCTGATATTTAAGATGTATTTACTGTATATATAGTGCATCCATATGATTAATTAAGAATAACTGCGTTATTATAGGGGCTTTGAGAAACTTAATAATAAAGTATCAGAAAGAGTGTTTTGGGGTCCTTGGTGCTCTCTGAGCTTGGTTGTTTTTCTTGAAGACATTTCATTACCAACTATTACTGAAAAACATATAGGAGGTAAACAAAATGACAAATGGACAAAATTTCACTTTTATAAGATCATCTCAAGTACATAGAAATAAGAACAGTTTTACTTTTAGCTACAAAAGCTACGGTACAACAAACAAGGAGGCTATGATGAGGAAAGATAGATTTGGAGAATGCTTCATTTGTCTCCTCCATTTATTTTTTGTTACAAAATGCAACTGTTTGCTCAGTTAGAAGCATACTTTTCAAAGTTGTTCAACTGGATGGAGGAAGAATATGGAAGTCTTATAACTTTTCTTCCATGAGTAATAAAATAATCCTGGGAAAATGACTTTCAGTCAACATGCCCCTCCCCCCGCCAGCCAACATTGCTCAAGAGACAGAATTTAACAGCTTTCTAATGTTTAACTATGAAGCATATCCAAAGGAAATCTGCTCAACATATATTTTAAATTCTACCAATTTTTATTTAAAAGTCAGTGATAGTTATTTATAGATCACCAATATGGCTCTTACAGCATCACTAACTGGCCTCTATCAATCCAAATGTTTAAAAATTAATGTTTTTATTTTTTTTTCAATTAAAATGGCTGAAATTCTACCAGATCTATATTTACTTATGAGTTTTCAAACTTTCATTTTAAAAAACATTGAAAACAATTCATTTTTATCTGCAACATGATGTAAAATCATATAATATTGCTGTCAGCTTTGGAAGACGTATTGAGATTCAATGCTGCCACAATTGAGCCTGAGAAAGTGGGAGGGAGGAATTAATTTGAGTATATTTAGTTAGACAAAATAAAATTCTTTTGCTGGTTCAAGGTCACTGAGTGTGGCACATAATGAAATGGGAATCTTCCTTTAGGACAGATGGTGATTGGATCGTGTGATGTGATGATAGCTAAGGGGGGATGGATTTGTAGTTTTGACTTTTGCAAGGAAGCCCGAAACTTTCAGATTCAAGATTCCACAGATGTGCCAGTTACTATCCAAATAAAGAAACCTTTGAGAGATGTCTGTCTCGGAATTATTGGTTGGAATGGAGGGTTGCTGGAACACTGATGCTTGCTTTCTAGAAAAATAACTGATCTTTCATCATCATTTTAGATATAATTGCTTGCTACTGGTAGATGCTGTGGCATCATTAGGTGGCAGTCCAATACTTATGGACCAGCAAGGTGAGCAAGATACAGCAATCTGTTTTTGTAGCATGAATATTTGTTCCTATTCTATAGCATTAATTTCTGGATTTTTAAAAAAATGTAAAACTGAATTTCATTTCTGAAGTTCTTAACCAGATTTATTTGATCAACCCTTTTTAGTGAAAGTTCATACTAGAAGACAAATGTAAATTTGCTCAGAATATATTTTGGGCATTAACTCTTTTAATTGCACAGTAACACTAGCGGAAAGGGTTTCAAAGGAAATATCACAAGAGACAATTCTATTTTAAATTATAGCCATGATATATGAAAATCCATGAAGATCCCCAAACTGTTTCCAAAGCTCTTCCATTTCCTAACCACTCCTCTGCTCCTAATTGGGGAGCCACTGCTTAACAAGGCAAATAACCCCACTTCATGAGGGAGATGCCCATTTCGTGAGGAAGTCCCACTATTACCATGTGATCCATAAGGCACTTTCCTGCAACAACTGTGATGTAGTTATTAAAGTATTGGACCAGAAATAGGAAGATCCAGAGACAAGTCTACCATTAGCTACTGAATAACTTCTGGGCAGTCAATCCCCCTCCAGCCAATTTGCTTCAAAGGGATCAAATTAAGAAATATCCCCCCCCCCATAAGTTCCCTTGAACTCTTAGAGACGGGATATAAATCTAACAAAATTGTTGCCCTTGGGCCAAAATATAGGTTCTCTTTGGGCATACCTTGCAGAGAGTGATAAATAAATCTAAAACTAATGTTCAGATAACCCCAAGAGGTTCGTTCACTAGAAATGGAGGAAACAGATGGTTAAAGATCATGCTAGCTGGATTGATGGAAATGGCTACTGAATATACTACACAGGATTATCAGGTTTGGGGAAAACATAATTACATGGACCAAGAGCCCCCCCCCAAAGAGTCTGGTGGGTTATATTATGTTTTAAACTGCTCTTAGACCTTTGTGGGAAAGATGGTGACAGCTAAACCAGTTTGTGCAGTAATGGATGCCACATAATACTCTATATAAAATGAATACCACATTCCAACAAATCAATTTCGCATTGAATTCTAAAATTAGCTACTGTCCCACAAAATGCTGGTAAGAGGCAAAAGAAAGTAAAAAGCAAAAACCCAAGGGTTTTCATGGTAAATTTATTTCATGCATTAATAACAGTGATTCACATGAAGGAGCTCTTAACTAATTTTCTTATTAAATGCACAGGTATTGACATTCTGTATTCTGGCTCCCAGAAAGTTTTAAGTGCACCACCTGGTGCTTCTCCCATTTCTTTCAGCAACAGAGCCAGGTAAGGAGATTTGTCTATGAGATATATGATTTTCAAGTACTATATCTTTCTGGGACAAGACATACACTGAGTAAGAGAAACAAAAACATATTTATTTCTTGATATCCATTGAGCACAAAGATATCTTAGAAACACATTTGCCAGAACTGAACATATCTGGAAAGCGGCACTATGCAGAAAGCTAGAGAAAACTTTCTCAGAACTATATACAAAAATAAAAGATAATGAGCTTCCACAGTATTATTATGTCTAACCTATTCTACAAGCATAATGCTACAACAGAATATCTTATTGCAACCTGGTAATGTAGAACCTATTGTGAAAAAAGAGCTAGTTTGGTGTAGGGGGTTAAGGCAGCAGTTCCCAATCTTTGCAACATGGCAGCCCAGCTGGGGGGGGGAGGGGAACTGGGCCGTGTGAGCAGCAAGCCAGTGCACCCATACAGCCTTTGCTCGAGCAACGGGCCAGTGTACATGTCAATGCCCGCCAGCCCACTGCTCGCACAAGTTGAGCACACATGCATGCTAGCCAGCCACTTACATGGTCCAATTCCAAATAGGCCATGGCCTAGTACTGGGCTGTGGTCCGGGGGGTTGGGGACCCCTGGTTTAGGGCATCAGGGTAGAAACCAGGAGATCATGAGTCTCTTAGCCCCAGGAAGGAGGGAATAGCAAATCCATTGGTCTTAGTATCTAAATCTCAGAGATCCCAAACATCATGCTTTTTTTGTAAACTTTAAGCAAGCATTTTACCAATTGTAATTAATGAAGCACCTCAGTACACATAGTAGGATATATCTGAAAAGCTCAGGAGATATAGTAGGAACATTCTGTTATTTGACTGCATAGCTTCTGTTTCCAAGACTGTCACACATTTTAGCAGTTGCATACAATTTCTGACTTTAACCTGCAGGGTTGCTTCCACTGAGTAATAATACTATGCTTCAAACCATCCTAGGAAAGTGTATTGTCCAAACTCAGAATGCATACAAGTACACACATAACATATAGATATAGAACATAGTAAATTCATTCATTTTAACATATTATTAGCAGCAATACGAAGGACCTATCCAAGATTTTATTTGTAACCTACCTTTATTATTTTTACAAATAACTCAAGGGGACGAACAAATCCGACACCACTTTCTCCTTCTATTTTCCCCACAACTACAACCCTGGGAGGCGGGTTAGGCTGAGAAACAGTGACTGGCCCAAAGTCACCCAGCTGACTTTCATGAGTAAGGCAGAACTTGAACTCATAATCTCCTGGTTTCCAGCTTGGTGATTTAAAAACTAGACCAAACTGGCTCTCCTCCATGATATGAATGGTAAGAACTGGAATATACTACGGTAACCCTAACCCATGCGGAGTTCGCATTTTTTTTTCATTGTGCCCTAGTGGAACATCTTCCACTACCTAGCATTGAATTCCCAACCTTCCAAGTGGAAAGTGAGCATCTTCACTACTAGGCCACCATTCTGCTCAGCAGAGCATATACTACAAACCATTTAAAAATAAATACATGATATACAACAGCTCAACTTTATGAGGGTGGATTTCCTGAAGTACTAATCAAAAATGTTCATCTTGCCAGAAAGAAGATTCACACTCGGAAGACAAAGCCAATTTCCTTTTACCTGGATATGGAAGAGCTATCTGCATACTGGGGCTGTGATGGTAATCCAAGAAAGTGAGCATTTATACAGCTCTTCTACTTTGCTCTTTAGAAAGGCTTTCTTGTTTCCTGGAACCAGTCTGGGAACTCATCTGTTATGCTACCAAATAAGAAAATGTTAAACAATATCAGCATTTTGATTACAGGTAGTCCTTGACTTACACTAGTTTGTTTAGTGATCATCCAGTTACAACAGCATTGAAAAAAGTGACATGACCATTTTTTTCAGTTACTTTTGCTCATGATCATATGACTAAAATTCACAAGAAAATGGAGCAAAACTCATTCAAGAAATGTCTCGCTTAACAGAAATTTTAGGCTCAACTGTGATCGTAAATCAACGACTACCTGTATATCTGTGAGAATGCAGGAAATGACTTTGTAGAGCTAATCAATCAAATGTTTTGATCACTCAGACTTGCCTTTCTTCTCATTTTCAAAGCAGTCTCCCTTATCGTTTTGCCTTGAAAGTCATGCACTCAGCTTCAAATTTTTAATTCTTAAATTATGATTCTATGGAAGCTCTTTAGATGAATTTTGGTCAAGCAACCCAACCTATCTTAGATGAATTTTGGTCAAGCAACCCAACCTATCTTAGAGGGCAACTGCTGTTGGAAAAGTGGAAGACTACTATGGGCATGATCTCAAGATTCTGGAGAGGCAGAATATAAATCTAATGAAAAAAATTACCAACGAACAAGGAAACATCCGTTTAGCTTTGACTTTATATATTTGACTTAGATTGTTCTACTCTCATTCCTGGTCTTGCTTTAAAATAAAAACTAGCATTGTACCTTGTAAAGATTGTACCTGGAATCTGTTCATTTGTTTCTGTGTAAGCTAAATGTATTATATGCATTATTTTTTTTACAGATATCATCATACTGCACCTATTAGCACATTCTTCTGCTTGCGAGAAGCTTTGGCAATTTTTGCAGAAAAGGTCAGTTGCTGCAGGCGTTCTATAATATTGAAAATAGTGTTTTTTAAAAAGAAAATGTTACTATTTTGTACACATTGGTATTACACTACACATCTGTTACATACTCAGTCCCACTTAAGTGGGCAGGTCAAGCTGGTGGTCATTGAAGACACAGTAACCAAGCCACTTGGGAGTTCCAGTGTGGGATTCCCCAGAATTTGGTCATCTCCTTCATATTGTTTAACATCTATATGAAACTTCTGGGATAAGTTTTCAATTGGTTCAGGTTGAGGTATAATAAATATGTAGATGTTCACATCTCTGGACTCTGGAAATTTTGAACTGATACCCAGAAGCAATATATCTGGATGTGACACTGAGTTATATTATGCAATGCCTTGCCAAAATAGAATCTACCTCTTTTGTGAACATTTAAGGTCAGTTAAGGTTCAACAGGGCAGGGGTAGAAATGCTGCAAATGTTTGGAAGCTCTTATTTCTGCCAAGTTTTTACTAAGTACTGGCTAAATGGATGTTTTGAGTCTGTAAACAACAGCACATAAATATTATGTATTCAAATATACAAAAAGATGCTGTGCTTAACTTTGTACCAGAGACTGTATTACCTATTGGTCACTTATAGAATTTGACCGAGGTGCTTGAATTTTTTGCACACAAGTGCATTAGCAAGGCTACTGTTTTCTTGTCATAACATGCAGTTTTGAAAGAAAATGGGTATCTTTGAATTCTGCTAGTGCAGACTGCATTTAGAATTCTTCTTTCAATATTGGATGAAATAAAATCAAATTTTCATTGGAAGCATCAGTATTACAGTTAAAACTTAAACATTCTGGATATAGGCAAAAGAAGGCAAGTTTGTAATGCTGGGGAAAAATTTAAGGCAGTTAAATAAGAACCGATAGAAGACAAAATGGCTAAATGACAAAAACTATCCATGATCACTTATGTCACAAGAACTCAGAAACAATTGCTGGGAGACAAAATTATGCCCATCACATCCTTAGATTGGAAGTTTAATTGAACAACAAAGTGCATAATATAAATATATTTGCAAGTTTTTAAAACTTTTTTTTGTATATAGGAAAATAAATATTTTCATTTTTTATGCAGGGACTAGAGACTTCCTGGAAGATTCATAAAGAAAACAGCCTCTATCTCTGTGCAGGACTGCAGAAGTTAGGTCTCAAACTCTTTGTGAAAGAACCAGTAAGAATGAAATTAATCATGAATGTAGAATATGGATCAAACTAATTACTCATGTTTTATATAGGAAAGAGTGTTTAAATTTGGAAACTAAGCAAAGGAGAAAATAAATTGATTGCTGCAAAGACAACATTAAACATGGGAATCAGAATTAAATCCTAGCCTCAGATACTGTTTCTACCCATACTTCTTTACATAGCAGACTAGAAAAAAACATACATCTCTCCAGACTTTAAGCCAGAGGGAAAGATCATATTGGAGGTATGAAGACTTATTCCGCTTTCATAACTTGAAAATATTTTTTGTATGGTGGCAAAACCTGATCCAAAAGTGCATAAAGATATGCAATTTTCTGAACTTACCCATTCATTAATAGATAATTGGTTATTTTTGATAAGAGGCTTCTCAAAAAATGAGTGTAAGAGAGACACAAAGCCAGAACTAAAGAATAACTTTCTTTCCTATTGATACAATTTCTTTTAAATTTCGGAGATAAAAGTGTTATTCAAATACCCAAACCATCTGAATTGCTCTTTTGCTTTCTTTCTTTTCTAAGGATGCAAGACTTCCAACAGTCAACACTATCTTTGTGCCCGAGGGGTATGACTGGAAGGAAATAACTGAATATATTATGAAAAATCATGAGATTGAGGTCTCTGGAGGTCTGGGACCTTCAGCAGGCAAGGTAAATATAGGCTCATGGGGAGAAAAAAAGTGAAAACAGATGTGGCTACCTATGTAATATATTATTTTGTGTGTAATATACAGTATATTTGTCCAAACAATCACAAAACACTTAAATGTTTTTTATCATTAGGTTCTTCGCATTGGATTGATGGGCTACAACTCCACTAAACCCAATGTTGACAGAGTCCTCCATGCCATAGGAGAGGCCCTCCAGCACTGTCTCAAGAACAAACTCTGAGCTCTTTTCACTTTCTCATTTTTCAATCTGCTTTGTGCAGAAGCTTCTACAGTTCATTCGTCAAGAGAGCACAGATAATTAACCAAGGTGTTGGAGGCCCTCTGCACAAGTTTCTTAATTGCATAGTTCAAAAATACATATGTAGTTACAGCTTACATTTTACACAAGGATAAAATCTGTTTTCATTTCAATTAATTTTTACTCACTAATATAATCAAATTATATGCAAACTACTAAGTGGGAATTTGGCTTGCTGTCATTCCTTTTGCATTTCTTCACTGAATGTATAGTCTTGTGCAAAGTGACTAATGTTTACACCATAGACACTTTGCATAGCATACAGGTATTATCTAAACTAATTTTTATTTTTCCTAATATAGCTTCCTGTTTCTGATAGTGACTCTTCTAAACTCAAGTAAATTATTCAATTCTGGAACCTGTTGGGCACACAATGCTGAGATACACCTCTTTCAGCTGTAAGTTATAAGGATGCCACAATTGTGACCAAGTGAGTGACATCAATGAAGTTAACTTGAAAAGATAACTTGGAAATTGTCTGCCCAGCAAGAAAGAAACCAAATTAAATTTGAATCACTTAGTAGTTAATTCCCCATATCACTTCCTACTTCTGGAAATCTTGCAATGATAGAATAATTTCTAAACAACTATATGGCATTTGTCATATTTTTTTAAAAAATATTTTAAAGAGCATCTGAATATTCAAAAGTAAAAGAACTTGTGGGTGAAAAAATTATGATAAACAGCATCCAGCGAACTACCATTAGATAACATTGCATGTAAGTTACAACAAAATGCTGCCAAATGAAGAATATCGTTTATCAAACATGGTTTTATTATTGTTCAGTACCAACTTATACATAAAAAAATCCCAAAAACTTTGAAAGAGGAGTTTCCCTTGAAAACTATGTTCTTACAGGCTCTTACTGAAATTGAAATTTTATGATCAGCAATCAGAAAATTAACTACAATTAATTAAAACAAACTGTACACAGAAGCACGCTCAAAATACGGTAAGATTTCTTAGTGACAATATTACCAGATTAAGTCACCTTGACCTTTCTTATGGCAATAGCTGCTGATAAAAACATCGCACTTTGTTCATAATCTCAGGATTCTGGTCTGGGAACAGAAAATGTGTCATGTTCCCTCATGGAAAACAGGATAGTACAGACACATGTACAGTACAGCATGTAAGTTGCATAGAAGGGACAGTGAAGAAATATATACCTCATTCTGATCACAGGATCAATTTCTCTCAATGAATAAAATTTTATGAAATTTTAGATTCTATATTGCCGTCAAGCGAGTCAAAGAAAAGGCTCTGTAGTGTGCCGAGTAGGCTAGACTGAACAGGATGTTCACAAGTATAAAATATTTCCAAGAAGGAATTCACTCTTGTAGATTGTCTGTAGCGCTCAAGTCTGTCTGATAGTGATGCTGAAGATTCTTTGATGAATCCTGGCTTTTACTTTCTCTAGTTGTAGAGGTAGCAAAAATCAGATACAAAGGTTGCAGTATCACAGGTGAGCTAAGATACTTACCATCAGTGGTGGGATTCAAATTTTTTTACTACCGGTTCTGTGGGCGTGGCTTGGTGGGTGTGGCAGGGGAAGGATACTGTAAAATCTCCAGTCAGAGGTGGTATTTGCTGGTTCTCTGAACTACTCAAAATTTCCACTACTGGTTCTCCAGAACTGGTCAGAACCTGAATACCACCTCTGCTTACCATCTATCTTGATGCGCAGTCTTCAAGAAGAATTAATGGGGCTAATGGATCATGAAAAAATATACGCTTGTAGTCATATTGGGTTGTTGTTTTGGCAACAGTGTGGAAGCAGTTTGTCATATTTTTTTCTAGGATATTCTTTTCAAATTCCCATCTTAGAATTTTATGCATGGTCTCCAACAGTGCATAACATTTTTTTAAGACTGGCTAGTGTTGCTATCTGACAAATAACATCTCTATTGCAGTCAAGAAAATCATATTGACAAATGAAGTAATCAAGTATCAACCGCAATCTGAAATTTACCTTACTTTAAAGATGCACGAATTAAGGCTAAACAGTGGCAGTACTTTTTAGGGTGTTATTGCTAAGATAAACACATCAGTTCCCATGGTACATGCACTTTCATTTATTTACTGTTACAGCTCTTTAATTTTCTGACATGCACCAGAAAGTAATTGTACATGCCACAAACAGTAACAACTTGGTTGTACTATCTTGAATCTTTCAACAACAAAAAAAAGCTATGTGTAAAATGGTCTGGACATGTTCTATGTACCATCTTGGAGTGATTTGTGCTCACACTGAAATGTGCGTGTTTCAGTCAGAATGGAACAGGACTGTTTTTGTTCCTCTGAAGCACAACTGTTCAAAACAGTATTTGGAAGAGAAGAATGGGGGGAAAAACAAGAACATTAGCTGTGACTGAGGGAGGCAGGGAAGTTTTGGGAGGTAAAAGCTGGTGGGCTACGTCATGCTGGGAACACCTGAGGAGAGAGAAGGCAATTATTACATCCATCAATATTGTCCTACTTGCTCTGGATTTCCTGCTAATTTTAATTCATCTGAAATCTGGAACAAAAATGGCTAAGAAAATTCTGTAGAATGTATGTAGAACATGCGCTAAGAAAACAGTACATATTAAATAGCAAAAAACAATATAGAAGAAAATAGAAAACAGTTGCCTACTCTTGGAAAATATCAACTTTAACTTAATTCAGGTTAGATTCTGTTTTCTTTACAAAACAAAATATTTCAGTGGATGTTAACTTGATCATACATAAACATAGCCAAATATGGTATTCCTGAAATGTCTTCAATCCCACGGAAGAGGAAATAAAGATGGTCTGAAGCTTCTTTTCTTTTTGTTTCTTTATCCTCCTTGGGAAATTAAATGCTGGTTTCATTGTGCAAATCAAGTGTTTTACATTCCTAAGATTGATGTCCCCTTTCCCACTGTATTCAAAAGGCTGAACATGTGTAATATTATTCCGCTTAATAATTATGAGCAATATATGGTGATTTTCAACTTATATTTATCGTCCCAGTAAGTCATTATGCTTCATTATATGACTGTTAAATTATTCAGAATTAGCCAGAAGCAAGTATACCAGTATTTGAACTGAAAAAAGGCACTGTTGCATTGGTTTAATATTCCTAGAGTTCAAATTACTCGTTCTAAACTAAAGTAATCAAGAAAAACTATGAGTAAAATACAAAGCAGAATAATCCAAGCACCGTTTAGCCTCAATTATAAGTGGCATTCTGATATTGGCTTTGGCCTCTTCCATTTCCAAGTCTTAGCTTTATAGCTTTTACATTTTAAATCCCTGCAATATGTCTTGTTTTCAATTACCAAGATTATAATATTTTGGGCTCATATCCAGCCTCTTCAAAATAAATCATTCAGCTATCTCCTTTTTAAAGTATTGAGTTATAGCTTATTAATGTAATATAATTTCACAAAGAGGACACAAACAACAGGGAGGGGATTATTAAAGCAAGAGTTGAGGATAGAAAAATAAAGTGTGGAAAACAGAACAGAAAGAGTACCAATGAACTTTACCACATTAAACAAAAGCTAGTGCAGAATAAGGGACTTTATGTATATTAAATTTTTAAATTAAACTTGAAAGTAAGAGGCAAATGCTCAGGAACTTAAACTCATTCAATACTGAACCATTCTCAACAAAAGAATTAAGAAAAACAATTTTTAAAAAGTTATTCTTGATTAATTTTGACAAGTCATGAGAGGGGGAAGCGCTTGATACAAGTCCATTTATCATATTCTTTAAAAAAGATTAGAATTAGAAAATGAACCTTATTTTTGTTAGAACAGTCAGCTTCCTAAAAAAGATGTAGCTATCTGTGCATAGATCCATGCCTACAATATAACTTTTGAATGAAGATTTAAATGTATAATATAAATAGGCCCAAGCAATTTTAAATAATATTATCAAATAAAAGGACACTTGTTTTTTATTTACAGTGTTTGTACATATTTATAGTAACATCAAAAATATTCACAATGCAAAGTGCAAAATGTCACTGTTATCACTTACCACCTTAATATTTCATCAATTCATCTTGCCCACCCCCATTATCCAGATTGTCTTAGCATATCTTCCTTCCATATACATAGCCACTGTAAAAGCAATTTTCAAATGTATAGCTGAAAATCTGCACATCTCAGCTATATTCAACACAGGTTTAGGCATATCTATATCCCAAAATAAATGGATATGCGTATGTGTAAATGGAGTCATTACAACAGAATTGGAACTGCCTGTGTAATAATAATAATTCAGAGTGCAAAAGCAGTGGTCAAAATAAAGAAGCAATCTCTATCCTTTCTCACAGGGAATGGATTCAGATAAAGTGATTTTTCTCAGTATTATTAAGCCTATAACCAATTGATGAATTAATTGTGGCTTTACTTCTAAAATATTAACTAGCAGGAGAACACATTATGCACACCTGCAGAAGTTCAAACACAGCAAGCTTGTAGGAATAACACTGAGAAATTATTTCACCTACTGCATTCCTTGAATTGCTGACTTGCCTTTCAGAGTAAAAAAAACATGAAAACCATATATAAAAACTCTAGCTTTATTTTTGCAGTCTCCCTCCAGCTTATTAACAGTTCCAGCCAGAGGCACAAGCTCTAAAAGTTGCTTTGATATAATGCAAAGTGTCTAGGCAGCAGAATATTTATTAACTATAAATAAATGTTTGGGATATCTGAAACTGATGAGTGAAATGAGACACTCAATTTCTGACTGGCGCTCTTGTCCCTTGACAGAGATACCTGTGGGCTTAAGGCCACAGAAAACTTACTTGGTAAACAGCAAGGTATGAGACAGAGAATACAAAATGATATAAAAAACGCATCTTAATATTGTTCTTCTCTGCTCCAGGAATAACTTATTCCTCTACCATATATATTTGGTAAATAATATTTAAGATCTGATTTAAAATCCAGATTTTTATGGGGATGCCTATCATATTTCCAAGAGCGTACCTCCAACCAGCAGTCAATTCTTTTATTTGTATCAATTCACTGTTATGATGTCATGTTATGAAAAAGTAACACAGAGTTTTATAATAAATGTAAGTTTCTGAAGCAGCATTGTATCTGCATGGGGAACTCTAACTTTGTTGCTGGAAATTCCAGTAGGTATAATTTCCACAATTCCAATTTTGGTATCATTTATGTTTACTGAAAAATATTCCATTTGAGGATCTTAGAATTCTGCTTTCTTAAATCCAAGGAGCCGTCACTAGTAACAAGTGGCAGTAAGAGGCAAACATAAATCACATTGCATGTGTTACCTGTCATGTAAGTATCTTTTTGTTTTAAAAGAGGAAGTACAGGTACATTAAGCTGAGGTTTAACAAATGCATATATTTTACTTAAAAACATTCATCTGATCAAAATAAACTTCATGGGACAAAACTGTTATTAAATAACATTTCAATTCAAATTGTATATAATTTTTAAAGTTTTCATACAGCAAACAATGGTTCACCCTTGAAAATCTGTAGAAAAAAATCACACACACACACACACACACAGAAAAGGGGGGGGGGGGAGAAAAAGAAAAAGCTCTGAGGTATCACACCCACCCAGACACAGCCTTACATTAGCTGTGGTATAAGCAGAATATTGTAGGCCCAAAGAAAAAAGACTACTGATTGTTCTAGTAGAGTTCAGGTAGTTCAGACAAAAATATCCCAGAATAGATATCTGAATAGAGGAACTACCTCAATAAAGTCCTCAAGTGCATTGGAGACCTGATCACTTAAACTGCTCCTGCCAAGCAGCTCCCTGCACCTGAGACAAATGCAGCCCAAGGTGCCTTGTGCAAAAGGTAAGGAAATTAGGTGCAGCTATTTCCCATTATTCCTTAGTATATAGCTCTGAAAATTATATGAAAGTTCGACTTCTCTTTCATCACGCAAGATACTGCTGGAGTGCTGTTTTCGCCCTGCAATGAAAAGCATTTTTTTAATTTTAGAGGATATACATAAATGGGGATTTTAGAAATACTGCCATGCAAGGAATAAACTACAGCATTGAAAACTGGGTGCATGAAGTTCAGTAACTGAACATCCCAAAAATAATCTGCTCTCAATTTTACTACACAGGTCTTTGTACTTAGAATCAACTATTCCTTTTCTATTTATAATTTCTCAAGCAGCTTTCACATGTGTGTATGCATTTTACAACTTTGAGAACTTCAAATTATTTTGGACTGAAGCTGACTGAAATGAGCAGCATGTGAAAACACAAGGATATTTCAGTCAAATATAATAAATGGGATGGGGAGATATTAAAAGG